ATTTGACAGAGGATTTTGAATTCCTGAGATGTGTAGGAGATTTCTTGCTATTTATAGATGGAACACAGTTCATTTCATGTGATATCAGGAGTCAGAAAAAGATTTTACAGTTCTCTGTTTTATGATAAAATATTGCCAGTATATTTATACTTTACTGTGCAGTTACACATTAGTTTGGTTTATTTTCTATTTCTATATGAGGCATGCTTTTTGTACAGGTAGGAATGTGTTCCCTCTTAAATGTGTACTTTTCTGTATGAATGTTTGTACAATGAATTTAAATAAATATAGTACAATGTAGATTAGATCTTGAGTAATTAATTTTCTGTTTGTTCCATGTTGCATTGCATGGACGGCAGATATATTTAAAACTATTTACATTGTAGACTTTCATAATCAAAAGAATTCATGTACACAAATTATAGCAAGACTAGGTTATAAGGGAAGACAGAAATCCATCTGTCTTCCCCTGTGCGGTGCATACGATCTTTCGTTAGTTTGCAGTCTAATTGACTTAGAGAGATGATTTAAAGTGGCATTACATTCCTGACTGTATGGAGATGAAGAAAAAGTTACAGAATGTTCACCATGTAGTTTTATGTCCAGACACTTGGAAAAATGCCAGTGTTACTGTAGTGTCTTCAATATGTATTGAATTCACCTGTACTAAATTTTAATTCCATACATAGAATATAAATCTAAAATAGTTAATATTAAGCAGTAGCTCTAAAGTGGCTGTACAGTGAATCTTGCTTCCTGCAATTAGCACTTGAGCAATGAGTCCCCATGACAGCTGTGTTCTTTCATAGTAGGTTGTCTGTATTGTATTGGTTCTGTATCCTGCATATATAGGTGGGGTTGTGTACAATAGTGAAATTATCTTCCAAGATAGTAGCCTGGGAGAAAATGACTAAAATCTAAATGACAGTTGTGTTATGGTACTATAGCAGATGTGGCCAAACTATGGCTAGCGAGCTGCATCCAGCCATTTTAAATGATTAATGAAGCATGTGGGAAAAATATTAGTACCTTTCTTAAACATGGATTAAATATAAAAATCTCCACTGTGAGGAAAGCACATACCTCAGCACCTGCACCATTGAATCCATGTCTGCAGCTGTCTGGCTTTGACATTTGGTAAGTTTGGCCATGTCTGCATTATAAGAACATACAGGGCACATAAAAGGGTCTCAAGCTAATGCACACACCACAAAGGAATATCCATGTCTTGCAGAAGCAGAAATTTACTGAAATGTGTAAAATGAACACAGTACAAAGATGGTAGGAACCAATAATTTTAATTTCATGCATCCTGCTGTGTTACAATATAATACAACTTATTTATTTGACCGTCAAAACACAACAATAAAAGAACTTCAAGGACAATGCCCAGATATAGTTCTGCTACATGTTTCGGCCACTAGTGGCCATCATCAGGCAAACACACTTCAACAAACGTACACCACTGAACTGCAGTACGCAAAATTTGATACAGTGTCCTAAATCATTTAAGATAATTTGCAGTAAGTAGGTTATTTAAAACCAACAAAAGTCATATATAAAAAAACAAAATTAAAATTTGATTGATGTTTTTTAACATCGAGTCATTGTTTACCTCCCATACATTACGTACAATTCTCCATATGATGAGGCTCCAACTATTCCATTAATTATTGGGCCTCCTATACAATTTTATAATGAAACACTGAAATTTACTATTTGTCGACGGATATGTATGTAAAGTGGAACCAACAACTGATTCAATGTTAAAAAACATCAATCAAATTTTAATTTTGTTTTTTTATATATGACTTTTATTGGTTTTAAATAACCTGCTTATTGTATTCTTATTGCAAATTATCTTAAATGATTTATGACATTGCATCAAATTTTGCGTACTGCAGTTCAGTGGTGTATGTTTGCTGAAGTGTGTTTGCCTGATGATGACCACTAGTGGCCAAAACATGTAGCAGAACTATATCTGGGCATTGTCCTTGAAGTTCTTTTATTGTTGTGTTGTGACGGTCAAATAATAAGTTGTATATATGGTAGGAACCATTGTGAATTCTTGAACCAGGTCACTGAGCTAAGATTTGCATCAATCAGCTAGTAAAGCACTGAATTAAAATGTGGACTTGCCACAACTCGGCTGACAGATAAATAATACCCATATTTGAGTGCAAATTACAAGAGGCACATGGGAATGACGAATATTGCCTACAGGTCTTCTGAAACTAGTCACACTGAATCCAGTAATTGTTGATTTTCTTGCTTTACTCACTTTTTCCTTTTAACACTTTGCGGACCGCGCACCCTTTAAAAGGCTTTTCGCTTTTAAACATGTCGGACCGTTCGCTTGTTAACAGGCTTTTAAAACACGATAAGTTGCAACACACTATACATCTCTCTGGCACCACCCAAGTTGCACGCAGTGGTGTAATAAAACTCTGGAATATTCGCTTACTTGTCAATAAGCGGCCTCCATAGTCTAGGGGTAACGTTCCCATCTCATGACTCAAGGTACGCGGGTTCAAACCCGGCAGAGGTCGTGGAATTTTTAAGGGCGGAAAAATTCAGGGAACAAGTTCTCCGGGAGGGATTTTAAGCCGTGGGTCCCGTGTCGTAGATTTACGGCATGTAAAAGAACCTCATGTCTCTAGACCTCTGAGCTAAATTTGGTAAAAAGTTTCCCACCCAAAGTAGTTTCCAATGCCTCCGGTAGATGGGGAAGTATTAGGTACCACTGCCAGAGGAGGGGGGACCTCTCTGACAGAAGGGACTAACTATTAGATACCACTGCCAGTAGAAGGTTGGAACCTCGCTGGCAGAAAGGGGCTAATAGCAAGCACCAGTACTGGTAGGGTATGGAGACAGTAGAAATTAAAAGGGGGACGCACAATGGTCCAATAACTGGTCTAAGTGCATGGGGAAACCCACCCCCTCTATACTCAATACTTGTCAGTAAGTTGATCTCGCTGTTTTCTTAAGCCACTATAAGCGATAATGCTTTGTTGCTCTTCAAGCTGTATGTATCAGCCAGTAGTTAGTGTTGGGGGTATGGACAAGGACAAATTCTTTTCCAATGAGCCACCTGACCTGACTTGTGAGATGCATAGTTATGGTGTTTGAGAGAGCAGCAGTGACAGGGGAGAGCAAAGAATTGTGGCCACAGACAGTAAAAGTGACCATAGCTCTGACGATAATGGGGGTAATAACATTGCGGGGACAGTAAAAAATTTAAAAACTCATGAAAATCTAAACCCTCATTCANTGTTGCTCTTCAAGCTGTATGTATCAGCCAGTAGTTAGTGTTGGGGGTATGGACAAGGACAAATTCTTTTCCAATGAGCCACCTGACCTGACTTGTGAGATGCATAGTTATGGTGTTTGAGAGAGCAGCAGTGACAGGGGAGAGCAAAGAATTGTGGCCACAGACAGTAAAAGTGACCATAGCTCTGACGATAATGGGGGTAATAACATTGCGGGGACAGTAAAAAATTTAAAAACTCATGAAAATCTAAACCCTCATTCAAAATTGAAGTACAAAGCATTTCTGATGAATGTGGCAAAGCCCTGGACTACAGACCAGATGGTGGCGGCAGAACCAGAGTCAGACACAGACTTAGTGCGACCGTGCCCATCCAATCCCACCCCACGCAAGCCTCATGTAGATCCCACAGGGTGACTCTCGGGTGATATGCGGAAACATACCCTCGTGAAAATTGTGAAGCGTGAATATTCCAAGGGGAAGCATCTTTCTAGGCAATGCCATGTTTCCACAGTTCCAAAGAAAGGAGCATGTCTACATTTGCAAGTTCTCTGTAATGCCACTTCACAAAGGGGAATGTTTCCAGAAATATCACTCTCAAGCACTTCTAGAGCACTGGAAAGTGTTCTCCAAAAATTTTAGTTCATAAAATTAATTAGGAAATTCTATATTAATTTTTAAATTGAACAGTGCACAAGTTAGGGTAGTAGGTTTAAAAATGCCGGTCCCCAGGGTGATTTAAATATTTAAATCACCGGTCCGCAAAGTGTTAACCATTTGTCTTTTTCTTTTTTTACTTGCTTACATTCTGAATTCATTATCTCACTTTCAAACAACACTCATCATTTAACTTAAAAACTTTCTCACAAAATAATCTGTCCTTCAATCTCAACTCTGCAAACCCACACAGACCATTATTTCATCTTCTTATTTACCAGCAATGAAAGCCGTATTTCAAGAACCACTGCCACTGCCTCATCTTTAATAGTAACAGCATTAACATTTCAAGTATCACATAAAGATGTAAGCAAATAATCAGTGAAAAATGGCCAAAAATAATTTATCTATTTCACAATGCAGTGCTTGTATAAACAGCAATATATACCCATAAAATTGTTTCAAGTTTGTAGGCGATTAAAAATTGTGAAACATGGCCGGATTATTCTGGTAGATATGCTAATCTGATCCATATCAAATAAACTATAAGATATGTCTTTTCAGTATATTCAAGTAGAATTTCATAAATCACAACATTAAAATCACTGCTACACACTTTGAACAAAGATTTCATAGGACGGGTTTCACTCTGTTACGTTTAATTGTCATGGTACAGACAGACAGAAATCAGTGCAGAATATTCCAGTTATATTTTGGACATCTGACATCACAACCACTGAAAGTGACTGGTCAGCCTTATATGGACAGTGGACTCACTGTCCACCTTCAGTTCTTTCAAGCATAACATTTTGGAAATTGGATCTGTTTCCTTCACCTTACACCTGATCAGAGAGACAGATCCAGTTTCTAAAAACACTGTTTCAAAAAACTCGAAGACAATGGACAGTAACCATCTCTGGCTTAATTATGGACACGAGTGACAGAAGCGCTAAATTCATTGTGAGCTATCACTGACAGAAGCGCTAAATTCATTGTGAGCTATCACTGTAACAGGCCGTGGAGGCCCACAGGGTTGTTAGATGTCAACGTTCCCACAGTCGTCTCACAGATGGTGGTAAGGTTGTAAGCCTTAGATGCCAGGCTAAATTCATTGTACAGTTGTCAAATCCTCTGTGGTTTTATGAGTATTAACGAATTTCATGCAGTATGTTCTTAATCAATGCTGCATGAAGACCTTTAAGTCACATGTTTATAAAACTGAAATTATGCCAGAAGACACATGGAATTAAAATTACATGTGGTGCCTATCGGTAGAGCACGTCACATGGCTTTCACAGCAGGTGTGGGTCTGACACGAGTGTCTTGAAGGAAGGTGGCTAGTGAATGGTAATAGCCTGGGCTGGTCCATGTTTCGTTGTGTGTTCCTGAGTCAAACTGCACAAGCTGTTTGTGTTGGCTGCCACACAGCTCATGTAACTCTGTCATCATGCTTGGAGGCACCAGCATGTCAGCTAGACCTGACACAAACACCGTAGGTACTGCCAGATGTGCCATCTTCCATACCGACAGGAACTGTTGGAAAAAAATGATTCATAACATTGTATGCAAATTTTCGAGGTCTGATTGTTCAGGCTGTGCTCTTGTGTGCTGTGACACCAGGTAGTCTTGTAGGCGGTTACCAAAGTTTGGGAGGAATATGAACTTACGTCTTCATGGGCAAAGATATCAGATATACCCACAGATCTGACTGACCACCCTCCTTGCAACCTACTTACATAACCTGAGTTCATCCTCATGCCATTCACTTTTATACCCCAAAGATGGATGCACTAAGTTCCTCCAAAATGTTTGTAACCTGTCTACAAGACTACTGTACATACCTTGTTCTTGTAGAAGCAAAGTGGCAAATACTGCAACACTCTCCATCCGATCAACACCTTTGCCATGTCAGGGATACTAGTGAATGTATTCTCTAAGATGAGACACCAAATTCTTGAAGCATATTCTGGACGTGCTGCCACATCAACTGCAACAGCACCACCTGGGAAGCATGTCATTCATTCATTTTTATTTACTGATATAGGACCTGTCCATCTATACTATTCATAAAATACATTAATGATTATGGTATAAACTTATTATAAATATAACATTTTCTATACATCTGCTTATCAGTAGCCAATATTATATTTAATTAACACATCACAAGTTCAATTTTCAGAATGTCATCACAGATGACATGCTCTGCCTTACCCAAAGACCTTCCAAAAACAATAATTTCCTTATGGTTGACATCATGTCGCAATAACAGAAAGTCTAAGGCTGTCCTTGCATCCATATATAGGCCTTCTTCACTAGGAGAGCCATGTGACAGCCCGTACCCACGGTATTCTAGCATCAGAATGTTGCAATGAAGATGCTGGTACAGACCCAGGGCATTCTGAAGCCTGCAATAATACCATCCAGCATCACTATATCACTCAAAACACAATGTTCAAAGTGGAAGCTAATATCACTATGGTTTTCACTGAATGGTATCTTAACAATATAACCTAACTGCTAACATTTCTGGAAAAATTAATTTCATCAAAGTCAATTATGACAGCTTGTTCTTCCTAACAGATAATCACAAATTTGCTAAGAGGGGAATCAGAAGGCTGTAGGGGTTATCCTACTTTGCTGTTTTCTTATATGTTATCTCCTACTGACAATGTTTCATTTAATACCTATGGCCCATATTCCCAGCATTGCCATGCAAGAAAAGTATTGTTGGCGCTACAGTTGCCTGGTCACCAGGCTGACGAATAAAAAACAGATGAAGTAATGTTCCATCTGCACTTCGTACAAAGACATTTTCATATGGGAGACCAAAAAATGAAGGATCTGGAACAAAGACTCTTGAATGTGCTGGCATTTCAGGGTGATAAAGTAGGTTATCCTCTGTATGATATAAAATCCCTGGAATCACAAAAAGATGGGTGAGTCATAAACATGATTCATACAAATACAGAAGTATAGAGAGCAGTTTACTTATTAGAAAACGACTTACCTGTCATGGCAAAACAGAGTAGCAGAAACGCCAGCAGGCCACCATAAACCCAGTAGAGTAGCAAGCAAGACAGAACTGCTGCACCTGCTAAAGCCCAGCACCGCATTAGAATCCCAGCAATAAACTGAAAGATTCTCTTACGGGCTCCCAGATTTACCCCTTTCCCAGGACTTCCAATTCCAAATGAATTGCACAAGGGATCTTCCACAACTTTTGCTTTCGGAAGAATTTCTCGGTTCGACATAACACTGTTCCTGTAACTGAAAGTCTGCATTTTCCAGAACACGTGTGTTATTCTATTGCTCAACCTGCGATTCTCTTAAGAATTTGGCATTAAATCTCATGTTCATTATGATTCTTTTACGCAAATCATTACAACCAAGTCCCATACTTCCACAACAAAATCTACAATCCTCCATTTCGTATCATATCTTACTTCCTAACCCTCTTCGGATCCTGAACTTTCGTCGCTACGAGATGATCCGTGTTAAGGGATAAAGTTATGTGCTAATCAAAGAGTAGATCCCGAATCATGGGGACTATGATTATAATTAGAGTCGGCCATGGTGACGTCTGCTGTAGGGCGCAACCTGGGTGTGTGGTCTATGGGCTATGGGCGCACCTGTTCCTTCTTCAGGTTCTTCAGTAATCTGTGGTAGTTGAAAATGGTCTGACAGTAGCGAAAGTAGAGTTTGATGTTGAGATAGTTTGTACATATGTAATTTTTTACATATTGAATATCACTCGTTGATTTTAGTTTGTGTATTGAATAATTTCCTCGAAGTTGTTGGTGCATACACGTCAGTGAACAACATGTTTCGTATTTTGCATAAACGGACGAAAATGAAACTCGTAGGAATGTGAGGTCAAAAATATATCTCGGATTTACAGATTTCAGCCCATTTACAATATAACAAATTCACCATGGATTGTCTTACATTCAGAGGAAGACTGTATATTTCTTGACAAACAGTCAATGTTAGTTAGAGGAATTACCTGTGTCCAGACTTCGAAATGGGGAATATCTGTTCATCATCAAAGGGACTCTTCCTAGCAATAATGATACTACTTGCATTTTGCCTGAGTATGACCACAATTTTAGCACATTTTGGGGATGTGGCTCAATCAATGACAAGCGAGAAAAGGGAGGAACTGAAGTAAGTATAACCCATATGAGATTCAGGTTCTTGTGGCGGTGACTGAATAGTACTATCTTGTGGAATGTGATGTCGTACAGTCTGGTAGAAGTTTACCGAAGTTTCGGAAGTACACTATGTGCAGGATCGATTAGGAAGCGAAGCAAGGAGATTTGGTTTGAAGAAAGCAATCTTGAGGGATTTGGCACCGTGTATATGTAGTGTTAACCGACGTTTCGGAGGAACGCATCGCCTCCATCTTCAGGGTAGAAGGACAAATAAGAAATCCGCAAGCGAAGAGGCCGTGAGAACCGGTGAAAGCAGACTGGTGTTGGAAATATGTTGGTTTGCTTGCAGAACATATTCTTTGACACACAAAGTGGATAAATTTCTGTCATACTGCATGGCATTACATCACACTTAAAATATAATGTAAATAAATATTATATTTGATATAGTTATGTATCATAGCCTTATTAGTTTAATGATCATTTTACAGATCTCTATTCTGACGTTCAGTTATCGATGAGCTTAGTTGTTAAAAATACTTCATTAAATTTCTAGTTACATTTGAACATGTTTTACAAACGGTCCACATATTATAAATGAACGATAGTAAAATAATAAATCTGTAAAATAATTTTTTATTATATTTCTGCATTGTATTATTAACTGTTATTGTTCACCAAATATAATTAATACCCAAGGGTTCTGTTTTGTTTTTGCTGTAGATACAATCGTGTTCTTTTGAGTTGGTGTGCTCTATTGGATTGATTGGTTATGGAGTGCTAGTTTTATTGCGGTTTCTGCTCCATATTTACATGGTCACCTCAGAAGATTCAGTCACTTTCCAGTGTTGTGAGCTCTTCAAATCTTACACTTGTTTTAGCAGGATGTGAGCTTTGTATTTCTTTATTTTGTACATGTGTTAATTGTGAGATTTGAGAGTTTTATAGTGATGAAGGTTCATACTGTGGTCTTCTGGTTACATTTTGTGGCCTGTTTACTGACACTGACAGTATCTAGACTAAATGCCGTCAGGTGGTAGGATAACTCTTGAATGATGAACTGGAAAGAATTTGGGGGATTTGGTCATGGCCTAATCCAAGTACTGTCCTAGTATTTGCCTGGAGTGACTGAGAAAAAGCATGAAATTCTCAGTGGGAACATGGCTGAGATTCAAACTGAGCCCCTCCAAAGTACAGACTGTTCAATTTGTGGGTTTGGTGTATGTGTGTGTGTGTGCACATGTGTTTCACCCATAATATATTTGCAGAACCTCCACATCAAGATAGACAGGTGGCACAATATGTGCCCCATACAAGAGGGACGATGGGAGGACGAACACGAGCCTGCATGGTTTATGAATTTTAATTATTGACAATGCAAAATTTTTAATTAGCATCAAGAAATTTTAATAATTTTTAAAAACTTTACATTCCCAAGAAACTGCTGTGTTTGTGAAATGTTCTATTTTGTGTATTATGCATGGTAACATATAAGTGTACGTACTTTACGTCTAAAGAACTTATGTGAAGGTGGTTTCCTATTTGTAGTGATGTTTGCCCTCTGAAGATGGTCCGCAGAGACCGAAACATATAAGGGTGTTAAGTTTTTCATGTAGTAATAAACTTACAGGTCACATTGGACGGAGTGATTTATATTTGTTTCACTTTGTATTGTAATAATTTTGCTTATTGCTCCGTAATTCCATCATTATGTTCTTTCATTAGCATCTTTAAATACTTTCCTTTTTCATTTGTGCTCAAGAAAGTTTTTTAAGGCACGGTATATGGTTATTTTCAATTAGATATCTCCTGTATAGTTCTCCTCGGGTGTGGTTTGGATAAGATAATATCCAGTAATGCATTATATTCCTTCCATGGGACTGTTTTGGTGAAACTAGTTAATGGTGCATGTCAAAATCCTGATAGAACATACAGTTTTGTGATTGTTGTAAGCAGGTTCTGTTTACTGCACAGTAGATGCATGCCCTCAGTATTGTTTCCACAAGCTGCAAAACAGAACAGAGATAGCAAGGCAAAAAAAAAAGACATGGAGGAGAATATGTTTTTCATAATGACAGTAACATAAGCGATGAAGGTATATCAAATGCTGAATAAATTGTTGAACATATATCTGATGGTGTTGAGAGTGAGAGATTGGGCAGTCTGGACAAGGCAAGGAACTAGAAGATACCAACAGTAAGTTATGTTCCAGCATATAGTAAACCTAGAGGTGTTCCCATTTTAAGGGCTCCTAGCTGCAGTAAGAGATCTATATTTCAGAGATTACTGCCTTCTGGAGCATGACATCATATAGTCTAGTAGATGTTTGCTGACACTTCAGATTGTTGGTAAACATTAGCACACTACATGACATTACATCCCATACTGACCGCACGAAAATCTCCAGTTTTGTAGACTCTTTTTATATACTTATATCACCATCCAGGCTCTATTTGTTTTTGTTTTATGGGGGCACACAGTAGCGTAGTTGGTTGAGGCACTATGCTACAAGACAGAAGGTCATGGGTTCAAGTCCCCAATGAGGTCATTGGATTTTTTACGATTGACCTAATTCTTCCAACCACACTATGGCCCTCGTGTTGACTCAGCCTCTTAACAGAAATGAATACCAGGAATTAATTAAATAATTTTCCCGGGGAATAAAATGCACCCAGCTTGTAAGGCTATCAACCTATCAACTTGAGCCAATTGTCTGGATAATGTGGGACCCTCAATGTCTCACAAACCTATGGGCCTCCACAGCCTGTTACAGGGATAGCTTTACTTGTTTACTTTTTCCCTCATTTTATGAGACACAAACATTTAGAGAACAGTGCTGTCATAGCAGATGTGTGTTTTAACTTCCAACTGACATGTGGTGTTATGCTGCTAGCAGTGTCCAGGGGTGGACAAAAACATGTGAAAAACTTTCTTCAGGGGCTTTCTTTTAAAATAAATAGGGAACTACTGGAACTGAATAGGAACCAGCTGAGTCTAGTGACAAAACCGTCATGAGACTTTTGATTTGTTTCATTCTGGTCCATCACACTAACAATTACAAAACAACTTATTTGAAGGTGGTTTCCTATTTGTAGTGATGTTTGCCCTCTGAAGATGGTGCGAAGAGACCTAAACATGTAAGGGTGTTAAGTTTTTCATGTAGTAATAAACTTACAGGTCACATTGGACGGAGTTATTTATATTTGTCATGAGACTGTCACTTGAAGAGTGACATACTCAAATCGAGAGTGGTAAATAGCCCAGCCTGTGAGTGGCTTCATGATGAAGGTGAGGTGGCCTGTGACATGATTGTGAAGTTCAAGCTGAATTAAGATTTTGTCACCTGTTACTTCATGAAACCCATTGACAACCGTAAGGCTTCATTAGAGGAGGCACATGACTGCTGGATGGCCAATTCTTGAAAAGGGGATGGGCAGTAGGCTGAAGATCATCACTGTAGAATGGATGCATAACACCTACCCACCTTTAATGTTTTAAGCTAATAATATATGATTTCATTGTTATTGGTTTAGGATGAGACTGAGTCATTTGGTACTGCTGCTACAAATGGGCCTGTTGTACAGCCCCAAGATAATAGACGAGAAAACTGAAAATCTAATGGTGTTACTTTTGTTTTACAGGGAAGAAGCAAGAGACATGTTTTATCATGCTTACAGAGCATACATGGTAAGTTTCTAATTTTCATCTTATTGTCCATATCATGAAACTCATATTGCCAAGGTGCTGGCATGTTGTGAGCTGTGGGTAGTTGCACATTGTCAGTTTGTCCTGCCAAATGAAAGCCTTTGTGTTGTTCTGTAGCTACTTGTGAGCAGGAAATGAATGCAAGGTAAGAAACTTATTTGAGATCACTCTGAATGCTGTGTAGCCACATTTTAATACAAAGTGTATATGGGACAGAAATGGGGTGCATGGAGGTAATGTCAAAATAGTGTCTCTCAATATTTATTCTGTATTTTAGGGCCAAATCACTCAACTACCAACTGTTACAGATGCTCAAGTTGTCATTGAAAGATATGTGTCTATATCATTGATTGGTAAATGAGATGCTAGCCATTGTGGCACTCTGTTGCCAGTTGAAGAGAAAGAGAGGCTGGGTGTTTTTGACAGATTCTACTTTCATGGACGTCTAAAGCACTTTCTGTAGATGTCAGCACCATTTAATGTATAGTGTTATTCTCTCAAGTTTAGTATCTTAGCCTAAATATAGCTGTCTTTTTCAGAACCTTTCAAGTTAGTGAGGTTAGATAGTTTTGATGAAGTTCTTAACAGTATCTCACTTAAATTTCATTGGGCCAACACTGCAGTGACAGTTTACAGTACCAATGCTTCTTTGCAGGAAAATGCCTATCCTGCTGATGAGCTGATGCCACTCAGTTGTACTGGCCGGTGGAGGGGAACGGAACCCAGTCGGGGAGACATAGATGACACTCTTGGAAAGTAAGTTTAAGAAAAAGGTGAATTTGTTCAAATTTCAAAGAATTACATGATTTTACTGTTATAAGACATAAATAGAGTATATACATATAGCATCTATGATTCAGATTGAAGTAATGCTATGTGACGTTTTTTAGCCAGAGTTGCACAGAATGTTTCTGACTCTTAGTAATATGGAGTGTTATTCAGAATTTCAAATTTCAAATTCAAATTCTGTTGCACAAAAAGCGAAAATTTCAGATTTGGAATGCTTTGCACTCATAGCTGTAGTTGCCATGGTGCCCAGTGTTTATGAGGAGAGGCAGGCGTCTGCGGTTCATGAACGAAGCAGAAGTTGAGCCTTTTACTGTGAGGCAATATAAACTGAGGTCTCCTCACCTCACATCCTCATGATTGCAATTTTCTTTATTTCAGCTTTTCACTGACTTTGATAGATACACTGGATACCCTTGCCGTAAGTACAGTTTCTTGTTATGATAACTTTGTTTTTGAATCCGTGTTTATAAAGCTAGGCGTTCAGTGTTTTGTATTACAAGAATGTGATTTATTTAAGCTAGTAATCCTCTGATAACCACAGTAAAGGTATGTAATATTATTCTGCATTAAAATAATTTTAATTTGTTATATTGAACTGACCCAGGAATAGTTTGTAGAATGATGATGATTTTTGGGGATTGTTTTATGACACGGTCAGTAGCTAAACTTAATAATATCAAATGGCAGGTGGATGATGGATTGCCAAGTGTTTGGGAGTAGGTCATTGACATATGTCTAGAGTGACTGAGGAAACCACAAAAGAACCTCAGTCAGGATAGCAAGTGTCCTGGCAGAGATTTGAACCAAGCACCTGCATTACTGCTCTGCCAACATGCATGATGGTGATGATGACAGTAAAGACTATGGTGCATATGATATATTACAGTGAGTTCATCAACAGACATAAATAATTGAAATATAAATATATACTTGGTTGCAGGAGTGGGATGCAATGTCAGGTGGGCCTTAGGGTATGGAGCATTGGTGGAGCAGTAGCTGGCAGAAGGAAACTGAAACTCTAAAGGAGAAACTGCCTTACTGCCATTCCCCCCACCCACCACCATACCACCACCACCACCACCACCACCACCACAGATCCCCCATGGACCGCCTTGCAACTGAACACGGGCCACAACTTTCTTTGAAATCCTTTCCAATTTATTATTCACTAATCATCCTACCATTTGACAGAACATGGCCTGAGCTGCTGACCATCTTTTTAAACAAACCACAGATGAATAAAAATAAATAAATTTATTTGCACCATTACAGAGATGATTTGTTTTTGGTTATTGTTAATGAATTGAGGTGTGTTGATGTGCGTACTTAACAACAGTGTATCAGCTGCAGTGAACATGTCCGTGTGTGTGTGTGTGCAGGTGCTAGGGGACCTTGAGGAGTTCGAGCATGCTGTGCAGCTGGTGCTGAGGGACGTTAGTTTCAACAGTGATGTGATTGTCTCTGTGTTTGAGACCAACATCAGAGTCCTTGGGTGTGTATTCACTTACATGCGCTTTGTAAGCATTATTTGAATGCTGGACCATACAGTGAAACATGCTGAAGTAAGACTGCCAATGGACCTGAATATTGTGCCACTTTTTATTAATGTAGTTGTGTATAAAACAAATTAAATGAGGTAGAGGGTAAGGTGCACTATTGTGTTGATATCTCAGATAGGTTCAGCTGTATTCAGCTTAGTGTCTGTTGCTGTAGTAGACAATGCATCTTTTCATCCGATTATTCTATTATTGGCTAAAGTTGTTTGTGTTAGCCGTTTCTTAAGCAGGAATTTGTCTTCTTTCTTATTATGAGGATGTCAGTTGTTACTGTTCTTGTGTTGTCTAGTTTATGCAGCATGCATCAGCTGTTTATAGAATTCTAGAAAGTCTATGATTCAGTTAGGAGGAAGTATTACACAGTATTCTCATAGAGTTTGGGGTACCCATGAAATTAGTTAGTCTGACCCATATGCGTTTAAATGAAACGCATAGTAAATTCCTTATAGTAAACATTTGTCTGATACATTTTCTATCCAGAATGGTATACAACAAGGAGACGCTTTATCACCATTGCTTTTCAGCTTTGCTTTAGAAAATGCCATTAGGAAGGTCCAAGAAAACCAGGTGGGACTGAAATTAAATGGGACAAGTTAGCTGCTGGTTTGTGTTGATGATGTGAATCTGCTGGGTGATATCATAGATACCATAAAGAAAAACACAGAACGTTTACCTGATGCTAGTAAGGAGCTTGGTCTAAAAGGAAATGCAGTGGAAAGTAAATATTTGTTGCTGGCTCATCAGAATGCAGAGCAAAATCATGACATAAAGATGGCTAACAGATGTTTTGAAAATTTGGCACAATTCAGATATTTGGGAATGACTATAACAGATCAAAAACTTATTTTGGAGGAAAATGAACTCTGGTAATGCTTGCTACCATAGTCCAGAATCTTTTGCTTTCTCATCTGCTATCTAAAAACATAAAAATTAGAATTTACAAAACTATAACTTCGCCTGTGTTTCTGTATGGGTGTGAAACTTAGTCCCTGACATTAAGGCAGGAACATAGACTGAGGGTGTTTAAGAACAGGGTGCTGAGAATATTTGGTCCAAACAGAGATGAAGTGACAGGAGGTTGGAGAAAACTGCATAATAAGGAGCTTCATAACTTATAGTCTTCTTCAAGTATAATTAGAATGATCAAGTCAAGGAGAATGCAATTGGCAGGGAATGTAGCACGAATGGGGGAGGAGTGCATATAGCATATTGGTGTGAAAGGCAGAAAGGAAGGGACCACTAGGAAGACCAAGACATAGGTGGGTGGACAATATTAAACTGGATCTTAGAGAGATAGGATGGGATGGTATTGATTGGATTGATCTGGCTCATAATATGGACCGGAGGATGGCTCTTGTGAACACAGTAATGAACCTTTGGGTTTTATAAAATGCTGGGAAGTTCTTGAGTAGCTGCACAACTGATGGCTTCTCAAGAAATGCTCACCTCCATAAGTGAATCTGTGCATAAAACAGTAGAATCCAACAGCACGTATGGTGTCATTTGGCGGAGTAGCATGTATCAAGCACGAAGGATATAGGAGAAAATATACAGATAAAACTACCACAAAATCAAAAACATTTGCCTTCTTGAAGAAAGCAGTCTTCTGGGATTTGGCACCGTGTATATGTGCCAAATCCCAGAAGACTGCTTTCTTCATAGTCACCACCGTGAAAGCCTCAAATCTTACATTTGCCTTCTTGTTTTCTGCTTTGCTTGTCTTGTAATGTTCATTCCTTTGTGGCATTCTTTAGAAACAGGTTGCCTGTCTCTTGCATGACAGCTGTGTGGATTGTGGTTTGCTAGGTTGTGGCACTGTGTGGTTCTTGGAGGAGTGGGATTGGCACACAGACATCAACCCTGAAGACAGTGTTTTGTTATGGTTGGTTTAGTTTTCAGTTACTTTGCCGTAATGGATCAGGCTGTGCCACCTCAAGATCCTGGTTCATCAGCTGGTGCAGCCTGGGGCAAAAAATGAACTGGATTAGCAACGTAATACAGAACCATATGGTGGAATGCATTTTTAACACTCTTAACCTGCCAAAACCAAAGGCCCACCCTCTGTCAGCAAGGCCACTGTCTGCCCAATGCAACCTGCTCTACTTGCCTGCTGGTGTTAGAGCCAGGTGTTCCTCTGAAATGTTGGTACATCTCAACCAGACTGCATGGCCCTCACATTCCATAAGCCAGCCATCTTCAGTGTTACACATTGAATTTCTAGTTTTCTGTCCTTGACACATAGTTTTGCTGCTATTGTAAGAAACGTGTCTTGCACTGAGTGTATTTACGTTGCAGTGGATTGCTGTCAGGACATGTTTTGGCTGAATACTTGCAGCAGCGAGCGGGCATCATGAGGTGGTATCATGGAGAACTGTTGCAGATGGCACGGGACCTGGGATATCGTCTCTTGCCAGCTTTCAACACCACAACTGGCATTCCTCATGCAAGGGCAAGTTTATCACGTTTTGAAACATGAAGTATTTTGATGGAGGAGTAAGTAAATTATGAACTGTAACCTGATGATGACAGTCAGGGATTGCCCTTTTAATGTCAATTCCTCATGTGGAAGTGCCTTGACACTATATGTTCCTTTATGTCTTTCTCGGTTTGGGCATGTCAGTACCAGTACTTAGCCTATAGTACTACCATAACTGAGAGACTGGTATAGCAGTAGTGCTGTTCCAGACTTGTATTCATGAGATGCTCTGTTCAAATCTCATCCAGGAACACCAGCTGTCCTAACCGAGGTTTCTCATGGTATTCCTCAGTTTCTGCCAGGCAGATGCTGGGATAGGACTTAAGACTAGGCCATAGCTGCTTCCTTCTATGTTTTCCAGTTCACAGTATTTGTCCACCACCCTAGCTGCTGACAGCATTGTTAAGTCACCTTCAGATCCCTTCACTGTGTCTGTGTGCCAGTGTGGTTTTGTCCTGGCCTCAAATTCCTCTCTGTCACGGAAATTCTGAGTCTGTGCTGTCCCTGTCCATTGCCTTAACTCATTCTGTCTACATTATCTGCTCACTGTTATTACAGAACGGGAACCACGTATTGGGATACTATACCATACATAAAGATAAAAGGTTGCTGTTAACAAATTTGGTAGTTGGATTATTATCTGTGGTTATGTGTCAGGAGTTCAAGTGGTATTGTACATCACATTTCATAATTATGAAAGGAACTACATATTACTGGGGGTTCTTTCTTCCCTGCCAGCTCTGAGTTTGTGAAATACGTCTGTAAACTTCCACTTTTAATTTTCCACAGAGATGATAAGTAGCGATGCATTCTTTGCTATTTCACACAGTTATTTGCTTTGAGGTTTATTTGTTCTGTAGTTGCAGCCCCATTTGTACTATTTTCAGTGCTGCATGGTGCTGTGGTATTGGTGTAATTATGTAATAATTTCCTGGTTTGCAGATCAACTTGAGGTACGGACTGAAGAGCCCAAAGCTGGAGTCATCACGTGAAACATGTACAGCATGTGCAGGAACCATGATTCTAGAAATGGCAGCACTGTCACGACTTACTGGCGAACCTGTGTTTGAGGTACAGATGAAATGAGAAAATTAGGGAGGGACCACACTATGGGATGAAGTGACATTGCTGGAGTATCTTTATCATGGCCATCATGTTATAGTCTGGTAGTACCAACATTTCACAGGAACAAATTGTCTCCAGCTTCAGGGTAGCTTCCGTGATAGCATAAGGGCTCTTTGTCTGTCTTCCTTCCTTCTCTCCTGGAACAGTTTTGCTTGTTAGCATGGCAGTTCCAGTTTCCTCTCATGTGATTGTGCACACTTCCCATCCTGAGCTGTGGTTGGCCGTTCCTGACCCTGACACTTTGCGAAGTTGAGTGACGTCTGCCGTGGAGTCTGAGGAAGTCTGTTGTTCAGATGTTAGTGCCACCTGGATGGACCACATTGTGACTTCAGCACCACGAGAACCTGAAATGGTGTATTACAAAATGTTGTTTGGCATGTGTATGCAGTAAACCCTCTCTAATCCAGTTACAGTTAATCCAGATCAAAATATTGAAAATTGAAAATGTTGTTCACAGTTAAGTACGTAACTTCAAAATGATACATGGCATTTAGGAAGGCAGAGGAGTCGCTTGTCTCTTCAGATGAATCTCAACAGTTTCTTCAAACTTACATTATTACATTAAAAAACAAGTACTGCTTCTGAGTCTTCTGTCAAGGGGTAAATATACTGCCCTTTTATAGTTTCGAAATTAAGGCACTACAGTGATTTTATTTTATTTTCATTAGCATTGCTTTATCACTAATTTTTTCATTTATTTGTCTTCTTTTGTGTGTGTGTCTTTTAGGGATATATCTTGCCTCACTAATCCAGATTATCACTTAATCTGAATGGCGTCCCCCCCCATCAGTTACTCAAGACCACCAAGGGTTTACTATACTTATTACTGAATGTAATGTGCCTGCCCAATTTGTAATTACATATGTGACATTTGATTTGAGTGACAGGCACTTTTCCTTGTGTATTCCTTTTTCCTCAAAATCTCGGTCACATTGCCATAAAAATGCTCTCACTCAGAACAGAAATCAAGCACATCTTCTTGAAACCCTTATGTGAAAGATTTGGTTTCAATTTTCAGCTTATAATTACATACTTCAATATCATGTTTCAAATGATATTTAATTGCTATGTCTTTGCTATGACTGAAGAATGAAGTACTTTTAGTGGTTCCATTGAAGTGTAGTACTCCTTTTGTGCTAATGGTTGCTGTAAAACTGCATGATGTTTTGATGGCTATCAGCATCACTGAAAACCCAGAGGTCAGTGTACAAGGTGGGCAATCACAGGTTTCCAGATTCAGTTTGGGCTGCTGTCTCTACCAAATTACTTAAAGCAAGCTGTGTTTACATCAGTTCACCCTTGAATCATCCATGTAATAAATCTTTATCATCAGGTACTTTTCCTCAACGCTTAAAATACGCTGTAATGAAACCACTTTTTAAAAAAGGAGAGAGAAAATGCATCTCTAATTGCAGACCAATATCCATATTGACTTCATTCTCAAAAGTCTTTGAAAAAGTTGTGTATAATAGACTACTTGAACACTTAAATTCTAACAACATATTAGTCAAAGAGCAATTTGGATTTAGGAAAGACCTAACAACAGAAAAAGCAACCTATGAACTAACTAACGATATTTTAAGTGCTCTCAATGACAGATTAATTGTGGGAGGGATTTTCTGTGATCTAGCAAAAGCTTTCGATTGTGTTAATCATGATATCTTACTATCGAAATTAAATTTCTATGGAATAACTGGCAAAGCTAATGAATGAATCAAATCATACCTCAAAAACAGGTATCAAAGAGTTGAAATAAATAATA